TCACATGCAGCACTGAAATCCTGAAAGGGAGCATTAATACTTATCCTTCATACTTCAAGATTACTGTTAGGAGGGCACAGGAGTTAACCTAATCAACATGGCTCACAAGGAAATACTAAGTTCTAATATGACTGCAACTTCAAAAGCAACAAAGATAAATTTGTCTGCCAAGACAGAGCACATTACTTTTTACAGAAGCACAGAAAGGTAGCCCACGTACTGTGATCCCCATTCATACTATATGATCAGATACATCCTACTCTTTTATTCAAAACGTTGCTATTTTGCCACTTGACAAGAAACACTCACGCAAACAGAGAGGGAACTGGAATGACAAGAAAGTCCATGATTAGGCTGGAGGTGCAACTGAGAGCAATCCCATGATGCGACCAGAGCAAAAGCATCCTAAGGAGAGCATCGTAAGTTCAGGAGCCCTCACATCAGTGAGCCTAACATGCTTGCAGCATACAAGAGCCTTCCACATGCAACAATTGCACAAGGAATACCCCATCAAAACACCTTGGCAGCCTGCAAATCTTTTGCTACCCACACCTCCAGGGACTGAGGAAGCAAGCCTTGGGATAGATGAATTATTCAACCAAGGCTAGATATAACTTGTAAGACCTTAAGCTGGGCAAATTCACTGCAGAGAGACAAAGGGTAAGCATTACGTAGATTCTAAGCTCTTCCTCACCCAGAGGAGCTCAGTAAGGTGAATTGCTGCATTCCCAGCAGCTTTCCCCTACAGCATCTATTTCCCAGGAGACAGAAACCAGGCCTAGTTAAAATAATTATGTCCCAGATCATAATATCTTGCCCTCCTTTCTGCACCGAGAGCACCATTATGTCGGTGTGCATTGCTCAGCCTCTCACTATCACACGTACAATTAAGTTCAGTTTCTAAAAGCCCTACCTGTAATTGGAGCCAGCTGCAACCTTTCTGACACATACTAATTGCCAGTAATGATTTAAGTGCAGTAAATTCACATGCTGCAATTGTTTTAAATAAGGGAATCTTTCCGAGCTTTTCCCTGAGAAAAATCTGTTAATCTCTGCTGCTGACTTATCAAATCCTCAAGTCACCTGTTTGCCATCATTTTCATGAGCTGATAACGTGTTTATTAGAGCCATAATATGCAGGTGGAAGCATAAAGGTCTCATTTGGTGGAGAATGAATTCTAACTAATATATCTGCGTGGAAAAGCTTGGTTTCACCATTCAGCTGTGTCTCTGCAAAGAATAAAATCCAAAATAGAATCTTTTATTCCTTTCAAATAGAGTATTAGCTCTTCTAAGCTCAGTACGTATCTCAAAATACCTTTTGGATGAGCACAACAGGCTTTCTTTTGTTAAGCCAGAGATATCACTTCCTATGGTGAATATACGCAGCCCTAGATAATTTCAACTTAATTGTATTTTCCTTTTAATTTTTTTTTTTCATCTAAAAAAGCAATTTTTACAAAGAAATAAAATGCCATGTTGGTTCTACAAGGCTGGCTTAAGAGTTCTTCCCACAAACTATTTTAATTTCCTACTAAAGATTATACCTGAGATATTGCAGATAATACTTTTATTTTTTTTAATCTCCCTAAAATTTTTGATCTCCTTTCTGCAGAGACTGTGTGGAAAGGGTTGGGGTTTGGTTTGTTGTTATTTTCTTTTTTTATGGGGGGTTTAGGGGTGACTGTTTGATTTTTGAGGCATGCTAGTGAAATTACTGCAGTTTGAAAACAAATACAGAGGGTTTATCCACCTACTTTTTTTCCCCCCACCAGTGAGCTACTCAGAGTGGACAATCATATTGCAAATGGGTTCTGCTGCAGCTGAGTTCACTGGCTGTTCAGCTGGTTTATCTCTGTGAATAAATGACCTCAACTCCTGGGGGAGCACATATGAAAGCCTAGCCTTAAATGAATGTTGTCATGTTCTAAGATCAAGAAAATAAATATGCTGTTGCAAAACACAAATGAGGCTGGTTGCATTATTATAAAGGGCCGTCCCATTGCTTTGTTCACATGTGTAGTAAGGAAGCAACACTAATTTTTATTTCTAATTTATTTTTTAATCAGAAAATTGAAATCATCTTCCCATTTCAGGCTGTATATCAATAAGATTTACTGTTTGCCACTGCCATCTTGGTGATCACAGACTGCAGTTTCCATTTCTTTCAGAAATATCCTTAACTCTTGGAATCTGTGTCAGTAGGTAAGGGCATGGATAGACAGAACTTACAGCAAAGCAAGAACAACCAAATATAGTTTGGGACCAAACTCAAGTATCTGCTTTCTCCAGAAACGCGTTCAAAACCCTCTCCCTTGAGGCTTCAGGAACCTCCTGCTTTAATCACAGGGCATGAGCAGCAGGAGAAAAATGTACAGGCCAGAATCTGATACAAGGATGCTCAACAAAGTATATTCAGCTATATGAAAGAGAGAAGTTCTCAAAGGAAAATACTGGCCAGCCACTCAAGAAATCATGGCAGCTTTTTCAAGTAAAAGAGCAAGCTTGAATCTGAAGAGAAAGAATATGTAAGAAAAGAAACGAAACAAGACTTGAAAGCCTAAGATTACATTTGGGACAGCCAAGCTTTCCAACTGCAGGTTAGGGATTTAATCGAGTTAGGACTCCTTCATTTAGCTCCTGAGCATGTAAAGTAGGGGCCTAATTCTAGGACAGTATGTGGTTTACTATAAAACAAATCTAGCATATAATAATTTCCTTCCACAATTCCCATGGCTTGTGGCATGGGCCCAAAACCTCTTCCATGATTCACATCCAAACCTCCCAAGAGAGATGTGATGGCCAAATTGTTAGTTTTAGTGTATGAGTAGCTTGGGTGAAATGACAAATGTTAACACTAAGTCATATTGTGGAGAAGAAATGACCGCAACTATGGGCAGACAGCAGAGCTCCACTGACGGTTTATTATTAGTATCTTGAATATGCGTTAAAAAGTGGGTTTTTTGTTGTATTTTTGTTTTAAGGTAAATAATATTTTCCTACCTAACTGGCCACTCCTCAGGGATAATTTGTTAGTCATTCCACAGTACAGGCCAATTTCTCTTTTCCAGAGAGGAGAACAGAACGTCTCAGTAGATCGAATAATCAAAAGCACTGACATTCTGAGGTGTCTTAAAATTCTTCAAGTCTGCTTCTATGCCCAATAATCTCCTGAATCTGCATTTTACACAAACACTGAGCCAGTGCTGACCATGCCCAGACTAACACCTCCTGGAATAGCTTTCCCTACCGCTGAAAACCTTGCCAGAGTAAATAATGTACCAGTTTGCTGATGCAGTCTATTCCAGAACTCCTCCTAGCTTTAACCTTTCCAAATAGTCTCCAAATCTGAAAATACAGCTAAACTGTGGCTCCAGCTAGCAAAATTATTCATTCCAAATTTCATGTTTGTTGTTAATTATCCCCTTTTTCCTCCTGTTTGCAGATTAATCATGGTTCAATCCATCAAACCGTGCACAGAAACAAGTCTCATAGTTTCTGTTCAGTACCTGTTGCTCCTGATACAACAGTGATCCGTAATATCACATTCTTTCCTCCTTGCCCTGTCTCAGTGACTGAAACTATTTAATATTTGTCACTATTCATATCAATTCAAGAACATGTATACCTTTGGCACAGCTTTGCAGAAAAACAAATATTTGTGAGCATTTTTTTTGTGAGTATTAAGTTTGTAAGCATTCTGGTTTCACCAATCTGTCTGAAAATATCTCCCAGGATATTATCCAGCAAAATACTAGAAGAAACAAACTGAAGAACTTTGCAACATTTGATTGTAGAAACAGTCACTGGAGAGATCACATCATGCACCTAGCTCTATCTAACCACCTCACCTGAAACTTCTGTTAGTTAGAGATAATTTGACCATGGCAAGCAGAAAGGCAGAGTTGGGCCTCAGAGGACCTGCAACATCCCTTTTTTCCTTTCAGAGCAGTTCCTGCTTTGCGTGTGGTGTCCCACAAGCTCTGAACAAAGCTGCAAGCCAGTTATTCCTGGTTTTGAAGCAGAAGTGGGGGCAGAGGAGGATGCAAGGACAATGGTGACCAACAGAGAAGCAGAATATGAAGAACAAGATCTGATTGAGGTTAAAAGAAAATATGACTGAAAAAAACTAACATGTCTCCTAGGATATTTACACCTTCAAAATTATCTGAAATCCACTAATCTAATCAGATAGAGGTGCTGAGAAATGGAAGTGAGCCAGGGGCCTGTCATGTGAGCAAAGGAGGAAACAGGATAGGCAATACCAAAAGCTCAAGCTGCTGTACAGCAGTGGGGAATATACGGTGCCTATTTCCCATGCTGCCCCTTAAGCTTGAAGAAAGGGGACAGGAATGAGCCATGCCTGAAATACTGGCTGCATAACATTCAAGGGCACGATGGAAAGGAGTTGCTTGCAGCCACTGAAAATCCAGTAATGCTGGTAGGAAAAGGAGTGCAGGCCAGGCCAATGCACTGTAGCTTGCCAAATTTGGAAGTGGCTTCATTCAAACCTAAGCATCCTCTTACCCTCCTATCTGATGGGCTCTTAACGCAGTTCTCCTGTCTCCCATGTGTGAATAGGCAGTTGTAATGTTATGTTCCTACTTGCTATAAAATACCAGAGCTGTAATAACAGTGCAGAGGCTGGAGAGAATTCAGAGCAAGAACCAAGAATTTAAGAAAAATGCCTGGTTAACTATCATTTATAAAAACCTCTTCACAGAGTGGCAAGTTTCTGTATGCTATATATCATCTGAACTTCCCCTGAAAATAAACAACCACGAGATCCCCAAGGACTTTTCCAACAGTCACAAAATACATCTAATGAGACAATGTTTAAGAGATCTAATTATAAGAAAAAATAAGCCTTGATAACCATCTTATCCCACATACAGTTCAAATATGACTCAGAGTTTGTTTTAATAATCCATATAGGTTAACGCGGCACGGTCCAAGCTGCATTGCAGCTACTGAGAGATTGTGAAGAGCTGAAAACTTACCCACAAGTCACCAGGTTAAATGGAGGTTAAGGAACAGAGATGTTATGGAGGGCTGAAAAATAGCAGCCTTGAGAAAGCAGGGCTTCACATGGCATACTAATATCTTTATATCAATTTTGGCCACTTTGCTCTGATCACCTGTGTCAACAAGGCATTTCCTCTGTTCTGTACCTTGAGCCACATCGCTGCACCTGCCCTTAAGGGAGGAGTTATTGGATTTACCCAGCTTCCTCTTATCTCTGTTTACCCTCCAAAACTACTCTGCAGAGAAAACTCCCTGAATCAGTCCCAGAGCTGCAGTTTCACTCATATGCAAAAACCCAGATGTAGCATTATGCATGCTGAGCTAAAAAAAAAAAAAAAAAAAAAAAAAATGACCTCATTGTGAGTAACCACCACAAGCCAAGCTGGGTGAAGTCACTGGGGATTTTTGTTTCCAGCACACCCACACCAGTGGGACTCTTTCTGAGGGACAGACACCTGCAGTGCTGCTGGGCACAGGCAAACCTTTCTTCACTTTCCCTGAACTGGTGGAGAAGAAAGTGGGCAGCCAAGAGAATAGATGAGGGAACTGGTTCAGACACGCTGCTTCTGCTACCTGCACTGGGCAAAAGTCAAGAAAATAGACAGGAGTCATAAGGAACTTTGCTTCCATACACCACTGCTGGATCTGCTCCAGAGCCATGACCCTTATCAGCGTGTCATTGAAGGCTTGCTAGTCAAGATGCTGGAGTCACTGAAGCAAGAGAGAGAAGTTCCCAGATTTCTTACTGTGTGTAATTTTGTATAATGCTAACTAACCGTAAACCCTTCTGAGATATCTCTTGATTTTAGTCTTAAAATGGACCCCAAAAATGACATAGAGCTAAAGAAGTACAAAAAATTAAAAAAGAAAACCACACAGCATTTAGCTTTAAGGAAGTAAATAAGTCCCAGTGATCACAGATACCAGGCTTCGGCTACATTTTGTGGCATGAAGCAGTCATTCAACCCAGAACTGGAAATAAAACCCCAGGGCTGAGCGCCCAACAGCTGAAATGAAGCGAGACACCATTCTCAATAAGTCTTCCCACAGAACAATCGGCTTCTTCAAGGTGAGCAGAGATTTTAACTGAAGGACAAACAGGAAACTGTTAATGACAACCTTAAAAGGTTAGATAAGAAAACAGGTGCCAAAGTATCTTATATTTATCTACTTGGCTTTCACCTGCAGATACTTTTCACCACTTATAACCTCCTACATGGACCTTTATTGACCTACCATATTACTTGCAGAAGACTTCACTTAAGTCATTTGTGTTGAAGAACTGTAAACTCATGGGAAACTTGTGAAAAATCTGAATATGTTCTTAAAGGCAAATGAGCTGGTATTTCTCTCACCTGTAATGGTATTTTGCCTTTGTTGAGGTGATTCTCTGTACTTACGTAAAAGACGGAGCCTTAGATCTTAAACTCAGGACTCCCATACATCTACTGACCCCTCAGCAGGCAGGTTTCTAGGGGCAGATCTCTCTTCACAGAAGCGTGGAACTTTGGAAGCATTCCTCATTATTATAAGAGCCAGTTCAAAATTGAACAAAGCATTAAACCGTAACTGATGCAACTCTGAAGTTGCATCATCCAGGTTTCCAAACCCTTGTGCTATTTCTACTGACAGAAGAGTAATCTCTGGTTAGAATAAGGCTGTACCTGACAGTATGTCAAACTGCAATTTCAAAGAAATACACCACCATTTACTAAAAGTGGGCAGGAAAGAAGGATTTCGGCACACTGAAATTCTCACCCTCTATTTCTAAGTACTTGTACCAGTGCTTCTGAAGTCCCCTTCTTCTATCAAGTGGAAAATTTCTGAGATTCCAGAGGCACACGTGACTTGGCTAGAAAAATGCAAGGCCCAACCTTTTAGCACACAGGCCACCCACATGAAGAAATCACTCACAGGACCTGGGATAAGGAGTCTGAACTCACAAACAAATTGAGAGTTTGATCTTGGACAGGTTTAGCAGAGCTCAGAGTCACGTCCAGTGAATCAAGCAGAAGTAATTGCAACACTGGCACTTTGCTGCCAAAGCTTTACAGTAGGAGAAGACAATGATCAATACTGTAGAATAATTAAAAAAAAATAACGGGAGCACAGCCTGGTTGCAGAAGTACATAGGAACGCTGGACATTTTGATTTGTAGGTAAAGAGAAAATGTGAAAACAATTACTTGCTAGGGGCAGGAAAACTAGGAAATAAGTGAAAAAAGAGACGTTGATAAGCAAAGGGAACAATCAAATAAAACCAGTTAATTTGAGACTTTCTCAATACCTAGAAGACAGAATATAGTTAAGGTGTAGTGATGCCATAGTACCACATCATTTTCTGGTACTCTGTAAGTTTACATAGCTGCAAGGCAACAATTTTTCCTGATAAAATCATTCAACAAGAAGCTTTCTAGTGATTCACTCAATTTCTAAAATAAACACTATCACAGCTGATTATAAGCACTTACCCATGCTGTAACTGCTGTCATGTTCAGACACACAGAAGCATAACATTACTTTCAATAACAACATCAGAAAAATGACATTAGTTTTCTGAGTCAAGCAAGGTCTTCCTTTCAGCTCAAGGGCATTTGTCTGTTTGCCTATAATATGGAAACTTTCGAACGTCACATCCAGGCAAGACTAATGTTCAGAACAAGTTTTACAAATCAAAGCACAGATCATATGATTTTGATGATAAGTTACTCACCCAAAGAGAAAAGTGCAGGATGCTTGCAATCCCTCACCTCTTTCTAGCCAAACCAATAACTTTATTTCTCCCTACCATTTCCTATACTCTGAAAAAGAAAAATAACAGTTGCTATTAACCATCTGCTTCTCATCCCATTATAGTTAAAATGTGGGCAACTGAATAATTTATTTCTTTCCCTCTGCCTACAAAGATAAGACTGTTGGGAAGGAAAAACATATTCCCAGATCCTAACACAGGAACAAATAAGGAATCTTCAGCAACTGAGAAGGAGACGAGGGAGAAAGAGCCACCTATTTCATAGAATCATAGCATTCTTAGAGTTGGAAAGGACCTTTAAAGGTCATCTAGTTCAGCTCCCCTACAACAAACAGGGACAGCTAAGCAATACCAGAGCCCCATCTAGCTTGACCTTAAATATCCCCAAGGATGAGGTTTCCACTACATCTCTAGACAACCTGTGCCAGTGCCTTACCACCCTCTCTATAAAAGTCCTTTACCAGTACTCCAGGTGAGGCCTCTCCAGTAAAGAGCAGAGAGGCAGGATCACCTCCCTCATCCTGCTGGTCACACATCTTTTGATGCAGCCCAGGATACAGCTGGCTTTCTGGCATGTGAAGGCACTCTATTGGCTCATGACCACCTTGCCATCCACCAGTACCCCTACAGCAACAGGGCAGATCAATACAGAGTGAAAGGTGTTACAGCAGAAGCACAACGATGAAAGGACTGGCACAATAAAAAGGGGATATAAAGGAAGGAAGGAAAGAAGATTGCTCATCTGTATCAGAAGATCAAAAATTCACAGGGCAAACCTTCACCAAAGAGTGATGTCCAGAAAGAGAACCTTCCCCAGTGGGGGTCAACCCTTAAATGAGATCTAAGAGAGGTGCAGCCAGGCTCCATCCCTTCTGGTCTCACAGGTGAATTGCCTTCACCTCTGCCCCTGGGGCAGATCAAGGTCTTTTCCCTAGGTACTTAACCAGGGGGTTCAGGCCATGACTCAACAGTTCCCATACAGCCCCCAAGTCCTTTTCAGCAGGGAAACAACCTTCTGGTAGAGATTGAAATGGGAGCCCCTTGAATATAAAGGGGCAAAACTGTAACGAGAAGGAGTGCCTGAAGAAACAGTAGATGGGAAAGTAGGCTGAAGAAAGCCCATGGGGGAGAAAAGCTTGATGAAAAGAACTCTTGATGCCTATTGTACGTTCATGGTTATAGAAGGCAAACAGTGATGATTTCCAATATTACATCTTTCTGAAAGCAACAGAAACAGCCCCTCTGACAACCTTTGAACTTTTTATGAGCCAGGTTTGTTGAAAAACTTGTATTGAAATGAATCTGTTAGGGACACTGGATTTACTCTGTGTAATAAAGAGTGCTGTAGAGGCCATGGTATGGTAGAAGAATGAAGAATGAGGTAGACCACGGTATGGGCTTTATGTCACATCTGGGGATGGTCAAGGAGCATGGTGCTAAGCAAGTACTTGCTGATAAAGAAGTGGCATTTCTACCTCAGGGTACCCAGCATGCACATCAGCTGCCCTAAAGTGAAAAAACAGCAAAGACGAGGTACTACAAATTTTATCGTGAGATGACTTAACAAGATGAGTGTTTTGCCCTTGCCTGGCTGGACCTGTGGGAGTTGACCTCATGGTAGGGTGTTAGTAGCATAGTTGCTTTCACTGAGTTTTCCCATTCAGACAGGTAACATGCACCTTTGTTACCCTGACAGAAAGCACTCAGGTTTTACTAAGAGTGAAAATATGATGATTTGCTTCTAAGTGCCCTCTACAAGAAATGAAACCACTTGCACTGGCTCTGGATGTCATTAGTGTTTTTTTATTATTATTTGCTTACTTTCACTTAAAAGCAAATAATTTGTTTGATACTGCAAATATTTTTTTCAAATTTACCTTACACTATCTGTGAGTAGTACAATTTGACTTCTCCACAGAACCTGGATGTTTCATCACGACACTGTCTCACAAATAGTGCAGAGGAAATTTAATAGAACACACTAAATTCTTTACCACCATCACTCTGGAGAAACAAACCATCTTCATATTTTAATTTAAAATAAATCTTATTGTTCTGCATTAAAAAAAAAAAAATCAAAAGTCAACATGCAAGTGAAAATCCTTTCATGCATACACATCCTCTTAATATTCTGCTCACATGCCAGAATCACAACATACTCAATGAATACACATTAAACCTTTCACAAGCATTAATTATCCAGAATAAGGCTAAATTTTTGTTTAAAGTCTATATTATTAAAATATTATCAGAAGCTTTCACACTACACTAATTGGGTACCATTTTAATATTCCCTGATATGTATGCTGGGCAACCACTGTCAGCCCTTCAGGATAGAGACTGACTCTTCACTATTTAAGAAATGGATGGTATTTATTTTCTCAGAGTTCACTAAGAACAGTGATCAGTGAACATCAGTGGTAATCCTAACAATCTGTATATGCTCTTTTAGGAAGTATTTTAGAGGGAGGTCTTTTTAGCAAAA